AAGGAAGGAAGGAAGGAAGGAAGGAAGGAAGGAAGGAAGGAAGGAAGAAAGAAAGAAAGAAAGAAAGAAAGAAAGAAAGAAAGAAAGAAAGAATGAATCATTGCCACAAGCCAAACTGTGGAGCGAAGGAATCCAGGGGCTTTCGTGCCATCCTTGTGGAACTGATATCTTTTCAAAAGAAACCCAGTCTCTTTCCAAAAATTCAAAATCAAAATCCCTGCTTTGTGATTTCAGATCAATGAACCTGGCCTTGGATGGGTGGGGGGGAAAAATAGAGGTTTCATTTCTCTCCTCCGTTCAGAGCCTTCACAGGGCTATGGTCCTCTCCTCTGTGAATTCTTTCATAACCAGGATGGCTTGATCGCCCACCGAGGTCTCCTGGATAGTCCACAGGTTCGGCATGCCTGCTTCTCCCGGCTCGGCGGAAGGCGAGTAGGTCGAAAGGGGCCAGTGAAACGGCTCAGCGGGGTGTGCGTACTGGTAATAATTCCCCTGGGCAAAGCTTCCGATATCCAAGAAGATATTGGTCCCAACGGACGCCTTCACGCCACGTTTGGCTTCCAAGGTTTTGTGGCGCTTGGCGTCATGCGTGTTCTGATGTCGGATGAGGTGCGAGCTCTGGTTGAAGCTTTTCCCGCACTCGGTGCAACGGTACGGCTTCTCTCCCGTGTGAATTTTCTGGTGCCGGAGGAGCGTGGCCAGGTCATTGAAGCTCTTCCCACACTCAGTGCAGCGGTAGGGTTTCTCCCCCGTGTGGATCCGCTGGTGGCGGAGGAGGGTCCGGCGGTCGCTGAAGGTCTTCCTGCACTCCGAACACTCGAACGGCCGCTCCCCGGTGTGCACACGCCAATGGGCCTCCAGGTTGGACTTGTCGCAGAAGCTCTTGCTGCAACTGGAGCACTTGTAGGGCTTCTCCCCGGTGTGGCTTCGCCAGTGGGTCTTCAGGCTGTACTTGTTGTAGAAGCTTTTGCTGCAGCTGGAGCAGTGGAAGGTCTTCTCCCGGCTTTCCACATGGGTTTTCTGGTGGGTGATCAGGTTGGTGGTCCGATTGAAACTCTTCCCGCACTCGGGACACTTGTACGGCTTCTCCCCGGTGTGGATCCTCTGGTGGCGGAGGAAGCTGGTTTTGTCACAGAAGCCCTTGGTGCAGACGGTGCACTTGTAGGGCTTCTCGCCCGTGTGGATGCGCTGGTGAACTTTCAGGCTCGCTTTCCGGGTGAAGCTTTTCCCACACACTTTGCACTGGTTCTTTCTCTTGCCCTTGTAGTTCTTGTGTTGCGCCAGCATGGCACCGTAGTCGCTTCCCTGGGAACTGTCTTTATTCAGACACTCTTGGGGTTGGCCTTCTTCCTTCTTTCCTGGCTCTTTGAGATTCCCGAAGTGGCTTACCGCATCTTCGTTGTCTTCTGTATCGTCTGACAGCACCCCGTATGGCTCCCATTCACTTCCGCTTTCACAAGGGTCACCTAGTAGGATAGAGAAGGAGAAAGAGAGAGATAGAGAGAGAAAGGGAGAAAGAGAAAAGAGAGAGAAAGAGAGAGAGAGAGACAGAGACAGAAGGAAAAAGAGACAGAGAAAGAGAAGGGGAGAAAGAAAGAGAAAAAGAAACCGAAGGAGAAACAGAATGAGAAAGCAGAGAAAAAAGAGAGAGACAGAAAGAAAAAGAGACAAAGAGAAGGGGAGAAAGAAAGAAAAAACAGAAAGAGAATGAGA